AGTATTTGATTCACTACAACCCAGCCACAATTTTGGCTCCTATAGATTGGCTGTGTGCCCATGTAACACAATTACAGATACTCCTGATCTCACTTCATTATCTGTATGAACCACACCTGTGCACAGAATCAGTTTCTTACACCAGTATTCCCAAAACCAAAGAGATATCAGTGGACATCACGGATAAGGCTGTAGCTCTGCACAAGGATACAAGACCATTAGAAAGATGGTTGGTGGGAAGGTAATAAGTGTTGGTGTGATTATTTGGAAATGAAAGAATTGACCATCAGCCTGGAGTCCAGAGGTCCATGCAAGATCTTGCTTCGTGGGGTGAAGACATTTTTTCAGCACTAGAGAGGTTCCTGGACACAAGTGCAGATGCAGGGATAAAAGTTACCGAAAGAAGAGAAAACAGATCAACAATGATAATGAGTTTCTGTGAAAGAGTATGTCAAGGTTAGCAGGTGAATGGTTTCCAGAGGGCTTTGCTGTCCACTCCCAAAACATAGTTTCCTGGCTCTGCTTAAAAACACTGCTCTCCTCAGTGTCTCTCCAAAACACATTTCCTTTCTTCCAAGGAAAGGGGCAACTGAACCTAGAAACAAAAGGTAGGTCCAAAACCTTTTTTACAGTAGTCACAATAAAGAAGCGTCAAACTTGTATATTGGATGGAGGGCAACAATTTCTCTGAAACTGTTTTTTTGTTTGTTTGTGTGTCTCTTGTAACTGAAACACAGACTGAGACTGAAACAGTCTCAATTGGACTACCTCTATAAATAAAGGTGAAATTAAAAAAAAACTCATCAAATGATGTACAACTTTCATCTTAAATAGGACACCGGTCATAAGCCCCAAAAGCAATCAGGTGTGTAATCAGCAATGTCTTGCAGGTGTGGAGCAAAAGAAACCAGGTGAATTCAGCCCCTAAAAAACACACAAGCAGACCGACACACACAAACACAGATACAGAAGGAAGAAAAAGAGCATGAGAGAAACAGAGAGAAATGGGTGAGTCAAGGAATGAGAGACCATAAAAATAATCACGAGAAAGGTGATGGATCTGTTTAAAACCACATGAGAGGAATGTTAATGATTTGAAGGCAGTTGGGACCACAGTCCCCTACTGTAGAACACAACAGGCAACACATCACACCATAATGGACTGAAATCTTGCAGTGCCTATGGATGGGTCTAATAGCATGACAATGACCCAAAACATGCTATTAAGGCAAAAAAGGAGTGGCTGAAGAAGATGCACATCATTAAGGTCATTGAGTGGCCTAGCCAGTCTCCATATCCCTTTCAAATAGAAAAACTGTGAAAGGAGCTGAAGCTTCGAGTTACCAAATGGCAGCCAACAAACTTATTCAGAGATTTTCTGTAAAGAGGAATGGGTCAGGCTGAGATGTGTGCAAACCTGGTGAACAACTCCAAGAAACGTGCACTATGCTGCCAACAGGACTTTCTCCACCAAGTACTATGTCATCTTTTGTTGTGGGATTAAATACTTATTTCACTCAAGGCTTTCAATAACATTTTATTTAACAAATTTTTTTTCTACATTTTTCTTTGCCATTTTATCTTTCTCCATTTAAAAGAAACTACCTTAACATCTAGAGACTGTTCATTTCTTTATAAGTGAGCAAATTTAAAACATTCAGCAGGGGACCAAATAATTATTTCTCCTGCTGTAGCTGTTCCTGTTTGGTTGCTTAGCCCTGCACCAGCCAGAGCTGTAGCTTAGACATGAGGAGATGAAACGTGAGAAAGGTTGCCAATTTTGTAGAAGTGAAGTGGGTGAATACCTGTCCAATACTAGTTCAGTCTAAGTCACATGCCTGAGGTTATTTTTTCCACTAATGCATGGTGTGTAATTTTTAATATGTGTGGGCTAGCCAGGATGCTAAAATGTTGCATTGCTCTCTTTGTCAACATAAGCTAGCGACAGCAGAATAAAACATATCATTTCTGCTGCCTGTCTGCACTCTACATAGACAGCATTTAAAATACATTTTAAAATGTATTTATAATATATTTTGAAATGTATTTTAGCACATATCTTTTTGTGCAGCACTATGGCTGTCACAGTGTCCTTATCAAGGGCAGTTCTTCGCTCTGTGCAGATGTCCATTTTGCTCTGTCCTCCTATAAAAAAGCATGAACATTTGAGTATCTATTTTTAGATTTCCAAAAATCTGATCTTTGTTTGACTAAACATTTGAACTACAATGATATGCTACTGAGAGATACTTTTATGGGTACTTTTTGGTAAAGAAACTGGTGACAGAGAAGTACTAAAATACTATTAGCTAACCATTCGAACTGAATTTCAAAGCTGTGTACCTTTTAAATTGCTGTAGATCAAAACCTCCAGTGGGAAGGCGGCCATTAGAAGAACACGCACCATTGAACCTGAAAACAACAAAAACAACCAAACAAAAAACAGAACAATATCCGGTAGGGTAATAAATTTCTTCTCAAGCAGTATACAGGGTGGGCCATTTATATGGATACACCGTAATAAAATGGGAATGGTTGGTGATATTAAAGTCCTGTTTGTGGCACATTAGTATATGTGAGGGGGCAAACTCCTCAAGATGGGTGGTGACCATGGTGGCCATTTAGAAGTCGGCCATCTTGGATACAACTTTTGTTTTTTCAATAGGAAGAGGGCCATGTGACACATCAAACTTATTGGTAATGTCACAAGAAAAACAATGGTGTGCTTGGTTTCAACGTAACTTTATTCTTTCATGAGTTATTTACAAGTTTCTGACCACTTATAAAATGTGTTCAATGTGCTGCCCATTGTGTTGGATTGTCAATGCACCTCTCCCCACTCTTCACACACTGATAGCACCAGAATCCAGAGGTCAGTTCGTAGTTTCAGGTGCTGCACATCTCGTATCTTCACACCATAGACAATTGCCTTCAGATGACCCCAAAGATAAAAGTCTAAGGGGGTCAGATCAGGAGACCTTGGGGGCCATTCAACTGGCCCACGACGACCAATCCACTTTCCAGGAAACTGTTCATCTAGGAATGCTCGGACCTGGCACCCATAATGTGGTGGTGCACCATCTTGCTGGAAAAACTCAGGGAACGTGCCAGCTTCAGTGCATAAAGAGGGAAACACATCATCATGTAGCAATTTCAAATATCCAGTGGCCTTGAGGTTTCCATTGATGAAGAATGGACCCACTATCGTTGTACCCCATATACCACACCAAACCATCACTTTTGTTGTTCCAACAGTCTTGGAGGGATCCATCCAATGTGGGTTAGTGTCAGACCAATAGCGGTGGTTTTGTTTGTTAACTTCACCATTCACATAAAAGTTTGCCTCATCACTGAACAAAATCTTCTGCGTGAACTGAGGGTCCTGTTCCAATTTTGGAACATGTTGTTGGTCTCAAAGGTACGGTTTTAACTTGGTTTAAATCCTACCTCTCAGAGAGGTCGTTCTCTGTTGCTATGGGGCAACACTCCTCGGCTTCTGCCCCTATTTACTGTGGTGTGCCTCAAGGGTCCGTGCTCGGTCCTGCTCTTTTCTCTTTGTACATGTTGCCGTTGGGATTAATTTTTAGAAAATACAACATCTCCTTTCACTGTTATGCCGATGATATCCAGATTTATTCACCTTTGAAATCCGATGTGTCTGCTTCTTTGCAACCTCTGTTCAACTGTTTGCATGAAGTTAAAATTTGGTTATCACATAATTTTCTTACATTGAACGAGAATAAGACCGAAATCATAGTCCTTGGTAGTCACACTCCGCTAGACCAGTTAGCTGATGCCCTAGGCCCTCTCGATAGCCATCTCTCGCTGACTGTAAGGAACCTTGGAGTGTTCCTGGATGGCTCTTTTAAACTTGAGAAACAGGTCTCCACTGTGGTAAAAAACAGCTTTTACCAGTTGCGTCACATATCTAAAGCAAAGCCATTCCTTCCTTTAAAGGACCTTGAGAAGCTTGTCCACGCATTTATCACATCCAGATTGGACTACTGTAACTCCCTCTACTCGGGCTTCCACCACTCCTCTCTTTACCGGCTTCAGTTAATTCAAAATGCAGCTGCGCGTCTTTTAACAGGTACGAGAATCTATGAACGCATAACTCCAATTTTAGCCAAACTACATTGGCTCCCTGTTAAATATCGCATAAATTTTAAAATTCTTTTGTTCACTTTTAAAATTCTGAATAATTTAGCGCCCACCTATCTCTCTGAACTACTCCTCTTATACAGTCCCAACAGAGCACTTAGATCATCCAATCACAGGCTCCTAGCACAACCTAGGTTTTGAATGAAGTCGAGAGGAGACCGGGCCTTTGCAACCGTGGCACCCAGACTCTGGAATAACCTCCCTGTTCATATTCCTACTGCCGATTCTATCCAGTCTTTTAAATCACGTCTTAAAACTTATCTTTTTACTTTGGCCTTTGATTGTAACTAGTTGGCTGTTTTAGCTTATTGTGTGGTTACCTATTGTTTGTTGTCCTGTTTTATTGTTTGTTTTAATTGTCTCATGTTTTACTGACTGTGAAGCACTATGGTCAACACTGTTGTTTTAATATGTGCTATATAAATAAATTTTGATTTGATTTTGTTTTGCCCATTCTGCAAATTCTGTGCATTCATCCTTGTTGAGATGCTGCAGTAGCTGGAGTTTGTAAGGGTGCGATTTGTGAGTAGCTAATATCTTATGTTTGTTGTCATTCAGACCAATACTACTGCTTAGACATTGCTTAGTGGTCATGCATGTTTGACAAGCTCGTTATGATACCAAAACAGTAGGCCTATCACAATAATCGATATATCGACTTAACACACAATACATGTACATGACCTCAATAATTGTTGATGATGTAATTTATCTGCCATTATATTTACAAAAATAAAATATAATGATAACAAAACAATAACATTAAATAACATTGTTTTCTATTTGTTAGAAAATTTACTATTTATTCAGCAATATTTACAAAAATAAAATATAATGATAACAAAACAATAACATTAAATAACATTGTTTTCTATTTGTTAGAAAATTTACTATTTATTCAAGTTTTTAAGGTATCTAATATTTTGATTCCTAATTTCAATGATCTAAATACTTTAAGAATTAGATGTTGGTTTGTCAATTGAAAGTGTGTAGATCTTGCATTATTATGGTGTTATATTATGATTATACATTCAAAGACATAAAATGGTCTTAAAATGACAATGACATAACTTGTCGCAATTGTTTATGGGGCAATATACCGACCAACAAAAAGTCGCTATCGTAACAGGCCTTCAAAACAGACGGTTTTATGATTGATAAATTCAAAAAATAAATACATTTAATTTCTCTGAGATTCTCTAATATTCAGTTACAGTTCACAACACAGCTACCCGTACATGCAGTATTATACTGTAAATATAAATCTCTGCATTTAGCATCCCACTAGAAGCGTCACAGTTACTGCCTCTTTTTTTTTTTTTACAAATACCTGTACTATTACTAACACATTTACTGTTTTACTTTTAGCCTGTGGATACAAATGCAGATTTCCTTAATGTAAGTTGTGCATTTTAATTACATCATGTTATTTTTATTATTATTTATTTATTTATTTTATTTTACATTCAAATATTTCAAGCTTCTTGGTTAAAGAAGCTTGATTGCTAGTAGGTAAAGAATAGTTCACCTATAATTCATATTCCCAATTAATTTCTCACCTCTGATTGAATGCCTTTGTTTGTTTTCCTTTTGACTATAACAAAACATTTTTGCAGGATATATATGGTGAATTTATATGCATAGATACAGTCGTAGTGCTTGACACATGCAAACAGCAGTAGATGTACTAAAAAGGAAATAATTACAATCATGATGTTGATTGCTGATGTCAGTATATATATTTTAGAGGAATTTTTTGTTTTTCACCCAAAATAACTACAGGGTGGGCCATTTATATGGATACACCGTAATAAAATGGGAATGGTTGGTGATATTAAAGTCCTGTTTGTGGCACATTAGTATATGTGAGGGGGCAAACTCCTCAAGATGGGTGGTGACCATGGTGGCCATTTAGAAGTCGGCCATCTTGGATACAACTTTTGTTTTTTCAATAGGAAGAGGGCCATGTGACACATCAAACTTATTGGTAATGTCACAAGAAAAACAATGGTGTGCTTGGTTTCAACGTAACTTTATTCTTTCATGAGTTATTTACAAGTTTCTCTTTGTTCACAGCCATTGACATGTCGAAGAGGTTAACACGTGAGGAGCGGATCGAAATTGTGTTGATATCTGGTGAACGCAGTAACCGGGTCATTGCAGCAGATTTCAATGCAAGACACCCTACGAGACCACCCATCTCCCATGCTACAGTTAGCAAACTGCTTGCTAAGTTTCGTGAAACTGGTTCAGTGTTGGATTTGCCAAAATGTGGACGCAAGAAAACTGTCACTAATGAAGAAACATCAGTGGCTGTCCTAGCTTCATTCAGCAAGAGCCCACAGCGTAGCACTCGCCGCATGTCACTGGAGAGTGGCATTAGTCGAACATCCCTTCGGCAGATATTAGCTACTCACAAATGGCACCCTTACAAACTCCAGCTACTGCAGCATCTCAACAAGGATGAATGCACAGAATTTGCAGAATGGGCAAAACAAAATCAAATCAAAATTTATTTATATAGCACATATTAAAACAACAGTGTTGACCATAGTGCTTCACAGTCAGTAAAAGCATGAGACAATTAAAACAAACAATAAAACAGGACAACAAACAATAGGTAACAACACAACAAGCTAGAACAGCCAACTAGTTAGAATCAAAAGCCAAAGTAAAAAGATACGTTTTAAGACGTGATTTAAAAGACTGGATAGACTCGGCAGTACGAATATGAACAGGGAGGTTATTCCAGAGTCTGGGTGCCACGGTTGCAAAGGCCCGGTCACCTCTCGACTTCATTCGAGACCTAGGTTGTGCTAGGAGCCTGTGATTGGATGATCTAAGTGCTCTGTTGGGATTGTATAAGTGGAGTAGTTCAGAGAGATAGGTGGGCGCTAAATTATTCAGAATTTTAAAAGTGAACAAAAGAATTTTAAAATCTATGCGATATTTAACAGGGAGCCAATGTAGTTTGGCTAAAATTGGAGTTATGCGTTCATAGATTCTCGTACCTGTTAAAAGACGCGCAGCTGCATTTTGAATTAACTGAAGCCGGTAAAGAGAAGAGTGTTGGAGGCCCGAGTAGAGGGAGTTACAGTAGTCCAATCTGGATGTGATAAATGCGTGGATAAGCTTTTCAAGGTCCTTTAAAGGAAGGAACGGCTTTGCTTTAGATATCTGACGCAACTGGCAAAAGCTGTTTTTTACCACAGTGGAGACCTGTTTCTCAAGTTTAAAAGAGCCATCCAGGAACACTCCAAGGTTTCTTACAGTGAGCGAGAGATGGCTAGCGAGAGGGCCTAGGGCATCAGCTAACTGGTCTAGCGGAGTGTGACTACCAAAGACTATGATTTCGGTCTTATTCTCGTTCAATGTAAGAAAATTATGTGATAACCAAATTTTAACTTCATGCAAACAGTTGAACAGAGGTTGCAAAGAAGCAGACACATCGGATTTCAAAGGTGAATAAATCTGGATATCATCGGCATAACAGTGAAAGGAGATGTTGTATTTTCTAAAAATTAATCCCAACGGCAACATGTACAAAGAGAAAAGAGCAGGACCGAGCACGGACCCTTGAGGCACACCACAGTAAATAGGGGCAGAAGCCGAGGAGTGTTGCCCCATAGCAACAGAGAACGACCTCTCTGAGAGGTAGGATTTAAACCAAGTTAAAACCGTACCTTTGAGACCAACAACATGTTCCAAAATTGGAACAGGACCCTCAGTTCACGCAGAAGATTTTGTTCAGTGATGAGGCAAACTTTTATGTGAATGGTGAAGTTAACAAACAAAACCACCGCTATTGGTCTGACACTAACCCACATTGGATGGATCCCTCCAAGACTGTTGGAACAACAAAAGTGATGGTTTGGTGTGGTATATGGGGTACAACGATAGTGGGTCCATTCTTCATCAATGGAAACCTCAAGGCCACTGGATATTTGAAATTGCTACATGATGATGTGTTTCCCTCTTTATGCACTGAAGCTGGCACGTTCCCTGAGTTTTTCCAGCAAGATGGTGCACCACCACATTATGGGTGCCAGGTCCGAGCATTCCTAGATGAACAGTTTCCTGGAAAGTGGATTGGTCGTCGTGGGCCAGTTGAATGGCCCCCAAGGTCTCCTGATCTGACCCCCTTAGACTTTTATCTTTGGGGTCATCTGAAGGCAATTGTCTATGGTGTGAAGATACGAGATGTGCAGCACCTGAAACTACAGATACTGGATGCCTGTGCTGGCATTTCTCCTGCGGTGTTGCTATCAGTGTGTGAAGAGTGGGAGATGCATTGACAATCCAACACAATGGGCAGCACATTGAACACATTTTATAAGTGGTCAGAAACTTGTAAATAACTCATGAAAGAATAAAGTTACGTTGAAACCAAGCACACCATTGTTTTTCTTGTGACATTACCAATAAGTTTGATGTGTCACATGGCCCTCTTCCTATTGAAAAAACAAAAGTTGTATCCAAGATGGCCGACTTCTAAATGGCCACCATGGTCACCACCCATCTTGAGGAGTTTGCCCCCTCACATATACTAATGTGCCACAAACAGGACTTTAATATCACCAACCATTCCCATTTTATTACGGTGTATCCATATAAATGGCCCACCCTGTATATTCTTCAGAAGAATTTATTACCCTACCGGACTCTTATATATTGTTCTGTTTTTTGTTTGTTTTTGTTATTTTCAGGTTCAATGGTGCGTGTTCTTCTAATGGCCGCCTTCCCACTGGAGGTTTTGATCCACAGCAATTTAAAAGGTAATCAGCTTTGAAAGTCAGTTCAAATGGTTAGCTAATAGTACTTTAAAAAGCCTACAACTCTGTCACCAGTTTCTTTACCAAAAAGTACCCATAAAAGTATCTCTCAATAGCATATCATTGTAGTTCAAATGTTTAGTTGTACAAATATCAAATTTTTGGAAATCTAAAACTAGTCAAACACTCAAATGTTCATGCTTTTTATAGGAGGACAGAGCAAAACGGACATCGGCGCAGAGTGAAGAACTGCCCTTGATAAGGACACTATGACAGCCATAGTGCTGCACAAAAAGATATGTGCTAAAATACATTTCAAAATATATTATAAATACATTTTAAAATGTATTTTAAATGCTGTCTATGTAGAGTGCAGACAGGCAGCAGAAATGATATGTTTTATTCTGCTGTCGCTAGCTTATGTTGACAAAGAGAGCAATGCAACATTTTAGCATCCTGGCTAGCCCACACATATTAAAAATTACACACCATGCATTAGTGGAAAAAATAACCTCAGGCATGTGACTTAGACTGAACTAGTATTGGACAGGTATTCACCCACTTCACTTCTACAAAATTGGCAACCTTTCTCACGTTTCATCTCCTCATGTCTAAGCTACAGCTCTGGCTGGTGCAGGGCTAAGCAACCAAACAGGAACAGCTACAGCAGGAGAAATAATTATTTGGTCCCCTGCTGAATGTTTTAAATTTGCTCACTTATAAAGAAATGAACAGTCTCTAGATGTTAAGGTAGTTTCTTTTAAATGAGAAAGATAAAATGGCAAAGAAAAATGTAGAAAAAAAATTTGTTAAATAAAATGTTATTGATAGCCTTGAGTGAAATAAGTATTTAATCCCACAACAAAAGATGACATAGTACTTGGTGGAGAAAGTCCTGTTGGCAGCATAGTGCACGTTTCTTGGAGTTGTTCACCAGGTTTGCACACATCTCAGCCTGACCCATTCCTCTTTACAGAAAATCTCTGAATAAGTTTGTTGGCTGCCATTTGGTAACTCGAAGCTTCAGCTCCTTTCACAGTTTTTCTATTTGAAAGGGATATGGAGACTGGCTAGGCCACTCAATGACCTTAATGATGTGCATCTTCTTCAGCCACTCCTTTTTTGCCTTAATAGCATGTTTTGGGTCATTGTCATGCTATTAGACCCATCCATAGGCACTGCAAGATTTCAGTCCATTATGGTGTGATGTGTTGCCTGTTGTGTTCTACAGTAGGGGACTGTGGTCCCAACTGCCTTCAAATCATTAACATTCCTCTCATGTGGTTTTAGACAGATCCATCACCTTTCTCGTGATTATTTTTATGGTCTCTCATTCCTTGACTCACCCATTTCTCTCTGTTTCTCTCATGCTCTTTTTCTTCCTTCTGTATCTGTGTTTGTGTGTGTCGGTCTGCTTGTGTGTTTTTTAGGGGCTGAATTCACCTGGTTTCTTTTGCTCCACACCTGCAAGACATTGCTGATTACACACCTGATTGCTTTTGGGGCTTATGACCGGTGTCCTATTTAAGATGAAAGTTGTACATCATTTGATGAGTTTTTTTTAATTTCACCTTTATTTATAGAGGTAGTCCAATTGAGACTGTTTCAGTCTCAGTCTGTGTTTCAGTTACAAGAGACACACAAACAAACAAAAAAACAGTTTCAGAGAAATTGTTGCCCTCCATCCAATATACAAGTTTGACGCTTCTTTATTGTGACTACTGTAAAAAAGGTTTTGGACCTACCTTTTGTTTCTAGGTTCAGTTGCCCCTTTCCTTGGAAGAAAGGAAATGTGTTTTGGAGAGACACTGAGGAGAGCAGTGTTTTTAAGCAGAGCCAGGAAACTATGTTTTGGGAGTGGACAGCAAAGCCCTCTGGAAACCATTCACCTGCTAACCTTGACATACTCTTTCACAGAAACTCATTATCATTGTTGATCTGTTTTCTCTTCTTTCGGTAACTTTTATCCCTGCATCTGCACTTGTGTCCAGGAACCTCTCTAGTGCTGAAAAAATGTCTTCACCCCACGAAGCAAGATCTTGCATGGACCTCTGGACTCCAGGCTGATGGTCAATTCTTTCATTTCCAAATAATCACACCAACACTTATTACCTTCCCACCAACCATCTTTCTAATGGTCTTGTATCCTTGTGCAGAGCTACAGCCTTTTCCGTGATGTCCACTGATGTCTCTTTGGTTTTGGGAATACTGGTGTAAGAAACTGATTCTGTGCACAGGTGTGGTTCATACAGATAATGAAGTGAGATCAGGAGTATCTGTAATTGTGTTACATGGGCACACAGCCAATCTATAGGAGCCAAAATTGTGGCTGGGTTGTAGTGAATCAAATACTTATTTCACTCAATGATAAGAATGACAATTTCAAATTTATGTAGTGTTTTTTTTTTCTTCTTGATATTCTGTATTTCTGCATTAGGATTAATTTACAACAGAAACTATATTGTTCAAAATTATAAAGTCAGCAGGGGATCAAATTTCCATACTACCAAGAATGTGCCATGGTCAGGAGGGTTAATTAAGTTGGTTGTCATAACACCACCTAAGGGAATTTCGCTGATAGGGAATGTAAACATTGAATATTTAAACAAACTTGTCTGGAAGCCACACATGTTTGAAAATACATCCCGGCAAGACAAATTATGATAACGCAATATGCTTTAAAACTGTTAGACTTTTGTTTATTTGTATTGATTGTCAGTACTTTTTCAGACCAATCAAAGGATTATGTGGATAAGATGTGAACTTTACCTTGTGAGAGTGCCACCAGATGTAGAATAAAAAGCACAACAGATGCAACACACAGGGAGAACACTTTTAAAAATAACAGAGAGAATAAGTGCCTATTACCTTGATGAACACAGAGTTTGTCGACATGCTGTTTCAGTAAGATTCAGTGTGTTAAAATCTAGATGCTAATCGCATATTCAATGCTAATCGCATTCAATATGCTGGCAGTTTTAGCATGTGTGTGCCATATGTCAATAAAATTACATTGTTAGGTGTCACAGAAAGACACAAGAGGAAATAGGAGGAAATTATAAAGTCACTGGAGATGAAGCAAGGGCAATGATAATGTTCTCTGGCTTTTTTTGTTGCTGCTGAATATGCATTTTTTTAATCTGTTGTAACTTTTAGTTGTAATTGGAAGCACACATCTAGCACCCACTTCCAGTCTCTCTCCACTGCAGGAAACGTAGGCTAACTTTGTGAAGAGCCACTCACCATTACACAATTGTTTTACATACTTGTAATATCATTACAGGACTGAATAGTGCTTTAATAAAAACCACACAATATAAAACACCCAGGGAAAAAATAACTTTAAGTGTTTTGTTTGGCCACTATGTGGCTCCAGAAAAGCTTAAGTTCATAATGGAATTCATCCTCCAACTCTGGAACTCTACTTGATGAATATTATTCTTTTATTGTAAAAGATATTTCTTTAACTGGGGTTGTGATTAATGGGAATTGATACAATTTTAGCAATTCTGTCATTGTTATCACTTATCGATTTGATTCATTTATTGATTCTCACTGGCCCTACTTTGAGACTCACCACCAATTGTTAGTAGCATATCAAAGACATTACAGTCATGCAAATCAGTTATGTGCTGAATGGCCAAATGTTTGTGCATGTTGGAGGTAATTCCCCCTCTTAACAATTAACAATATAAACATACAGGTTACAGCCCCACACATTAACACAAATTTCCATCCTATGTGTATGTCCCACACATGTGATCTTTCTTTTAGTATTTAGGTATGAACAAAAGGCCAGCTGCATAGATCAAAGATGAAAGCCAGCACAAAGAGACTTTAAAGCGATCACCACAGTGATTCCACTATACAAACATGAACAGGTAGAAACGGAAGCTTCAGCCTGACTGTTCATCAGTTTGTTACCTGTTGACATTCAGCAGCTACTGGCTTTAGTGCATGCTCCCGACAAAGGGGAAACAAATTTTGTCTGGGATAACTACATCATCACAATAGTGGCTCACTTTATCATGGTGCTGGGCTTGGTTCAGCATTGACTGCCAAAAAAATAAAACTCCACATCCACGCTGTAGACTGCTCCACTATTTTCCTCCTTGGAGACACAAACTGAAATCAGCTAATGGTAGCGAGAGTACAAGAACCAATAAGGATCGATAGGCAAGCAGACTAACAATTCCAAAGAATTGGACTACTGAGAACCAGCTCTCGATTCCCATCCCTAGTTGTGATTCATGGTGAGAGAGAGCTATCTGACATGGCATTCCAGAATCTCCAATGGGCATTCCGTTGGGTTTTAATAGTCCACAGTGTGATTCCAATCTTTTTCATTGTCCACTAAATCCCTATGGCTATATCATCCCAGAAGAGAGGGATGCTATCAATATAGAAATGTTTTATCATGGGATGAAGGGTAATCAAAACATTGTATTGATTTGCAGTGAACCTTCCTTTTAATGGAACAAGTGAAGCTAAATTATGCCATTGCAAAATGCCACTCATATGTGTCATGAATCAGGGTTTTCTTAGTAATCATTGTTAAGTTTGGTGGAGTAGGATTATAGTGTGGGGTTGTTTTTCATGAATTGGGCTCGACCCCTGAGTTTCAGTAAAAGGAATTCTTAATGCTTCAGTATATCAAGACAGTTTGAACAACTTCATGCTCCCAGCTTAGTGGGAACAGTTTGAGGATAGCCCCATCCTGTTTCAACATGACACTGCACCAGTGCACAAAGCAAGGTCTATGGCAACATAGATGGGGACATTTGGTGTGGAAGAACTTGACTGGCTTGCACAGAGTCCTGACCACAACCCAATCGGACACCTATGGGATGAATTATAGTGGAGACTGCTTCCAAATAGTGTCTGGCATCATAAATGCACTTCTGGAAGAATGGTCAAAAGTTCCCATAAACACATTCCTAAACCTTCTGGAAAGACTTTCAAGAAGAGTCGAAACTGTTACAGCTGGAAAGGGTGACCTGATATTAAACCCTATGGATCAAAAATGGGATGTCAGTCAAGTTCATATTCTTGTAAAGGCAGACAAACAAATGCTTCTGGCAATATAGTGTATATCTACGATGCTCCCCTATCTAAGCAGCTTACATACATACTTACATACACAATGTTTATCTCATGAAATAATTATCATTAAAAGACTATTAAAATTTTTCATGCAAAGATGTCTAGGGTGTTAGTTAGTATGTGTTTTTTTAATCTGGTAATCAAAAATCACATCTAAGGTATATTTACCTTTGTAAAG